CCCTGCCCTGTCTTCCTCGGGCCAAGTGGCCGGGCGCGGGGTGCTGGGGAAGCCGCACTTCCCGCAGCAGAGCAGCCCTGCGCTCCTGCCCCGCAGGGAGGGCCGGGGTGCACTTGCTGGGGCACAGCCCTGGGGGCCTGAGGCCACCAGCTTGGCGGTCCCCTCCCGGGCTGGCCCCTCTGAAAGCAAAAACGAAACCGCCCAGACCAACAGGAGCTCCTCGGCCGGGCCGGCGGGGAGTCCGCGGGGCTCCGGTTCCCCACTCGGCTTGACCGACCAGCTGGCCCGCTCGGCAGGGACCTGCACGGTGGGCGACAGGCACCAGGGCCCTGGGGGCTCTGACACTGAGGGAGCTTCTGTGCTACTTGGAAGATGTGAATGTGTTCTGAGAACACGTCAGAAGAGTGGCAGGGAGGAAGGTGACTGGGCACCCACGAACAGTGGCTCTGTGACAGGCAGCAGAGCCTGCCAGTCTCTCTCTGGCCCTGGAGGGCGCCCGCCGCGCAGGACGGGGCGCATTGTGCTGATTCGGGCCTCCCTCTACCGGAGGCTCTAATGTAACTTTAAGGCTCTTCCCTGGTGGCACCGAGGCGAGGAACAGCCAGCTGTCTCTTTCCTTCCTGCCTTGACTGGGTGCCTGGCCTAGGGGGGTCTCCTTCCTAGCCCAGGCCTCCTGGTGGTCAGCTGCTCTCCTCCTCCGGCTCTCCCTCCCCTGGGCATGTGGTCAGGAATGGGCCCCTCACCCGCCTCTCCAGGTGGGACCGAGGGGCTTGGTCAGAGTGGGGGCACTGAGGCTGCCCAGCCTAGGCCCCCCATCCTGCCGCTGCCTGGACTTAGAGCACCAAGTTCGCTCTGGGAGACCCTGGGGGTGGTGGCTGACTTCTGAGAACCCGCAGATACACTCACCAGCCCTACTCCCTTCCTCTTTCACTGAAAGACAGGCTGTAGCTCCTTCTCCCGCAGCCTGGAGAAGTCCTCAGGAGCTGAGCTGTTAGTGCTTTGCACATACTGCTAAAGTGTTTCTATTGGTTTGCATAGTATTTATTATTTTTCATATACACAAGGCTGATTACTGTACAGTTTACACTTTGAACACAGACTATAATATAAGTGCTTGAAGATATAGAAAACCTCTTCTCTATTGAACATGCTGGTGCAATCCTGGGACAGCCACCAACTGAGAGAGAAGACCCTTTCAGATGGGGCACTGGCTCCCTTTGAGCCCTACAGCTAAGCTTGGGGTCCTCACCTCAGATTCTTAAGTCCCTAACACAAGGAACCCCGAATGCACTCTAAAGGTAATGATTTTCCATTGGAAGATGATTAATACTGAAACTGGCAGAGAGAGAGAGAGAGAGACAACATTAAAAAATTCCAGTTTATCCACAGGAGATTCTATACAGCTTCGGACATCACAGTAAAATCTGTGTGTATACTGAGTAGAGGGTGGAGGTGCCTCTGTGTGTGTGTGTGTGTGTGTGTCCTCAATGTCATGTAGAGCGTTGGGGGAGGAAGCGGTCCACTGGGGGGGGAGGGACTGTCACAAATGGAATGGAGGTGTGTGTGGGTAGGGAAAGCTGGCAGATGAGGACATGGGATTAAGGTGCTGAACTGATTTCATGTCTAGTTCTCATATTTTTTTCCTTTCCAGGAAGCTCACATGGATTTCTTACAGATGAGGTTGAAAAAATAAGTACCCTGTAACAAGTCAAAATTAAAATGATTTAAAAAAATATATCATCCCAGCCACAAAGAGCCCTTATTCACGTCTGCATTCATGCGCTCGCTTGCGCTTGCTTTCTATCGCTCTCTCTCTCTCTCCCCTCTCCTTGCTGCTTTTGTCCTGATTCCCCACAGAGATCCGTTGTCACTAGAGGCAGGAGTGAGGACTGTAGGTCATGCGTCTACAGTCAGTCGTTCATGCGAATAGGAGACTAAAGGAAGTCCCTTACGGAGATCATGCTGTTAGCCTAGAGGAACATGTGCGCACTTGTGCCGCCCTCCGGTCCAGCTCTCCTCCTGTGTGCATGGCAGAGTGTGTGGAGTTCAAGGGTTGGGTGTCGAGGTGTGATCCTGAGGGAGACAAAGAGAGAAGGAGACACTTAGAATTTAAAGGTGCAACTCCCAGGAAAAACCTCCCCAAATGAGTTTTGTGCCGGTTGCTCAGGCAGGGTCTGATTTAGGAAAAGCAGCCTCCCCAAGCAAGGAGATGAGCAGAAAGGTGTTGAGCTCGGAGCCCCTGACCTTCCTGAAATACCAGCCATTCTTCCCCCGCTCCCCAACCCAGAGGCTGCCTCTCAGAGGTGGCCGACCTGGCCTACACTAGCTCCCTGCAGAGTGGATGATCCCTCCTAGTAAACCCTCCTGTGGGGGTGCTCCATGCCTCAGGGAGGAGGCAGGAGGCTCCCACGCCTATGCAGTCACCTGGGGAGAAATCCCCACGAGTAGATCTTGTACTTACAAAAGGGGTCATGATCATGAGCCAGGGCTTGTGCCGGGAGAGGAGCTAGGCTAGGCAGTGCTACCCTCTATATTTGCAGTTCAGTTCAGCCAACATGCATTGATATCTGCTGTGTGTCAGCTCGGGATCCCAGAGGTGGAGCAGACAAGATCATGGCCTCAGGAGCTCATGGCTACAATGGACAGCAGCGCCTCTTCGGCGCTGGTCCACAGCTTACTGTCAGGTGCCTCTAGCTCCTCACCCCATGCCCTGTGGATGGACAACCTCTGTTGTGGCCAAGATATCTTCGGAAGACAGGTGCAGTATCCCTAAGATATTGTGTACAGGCTAGAAGACAGTACTTTGCCTGCAGCATCAATTCCAAATTCTGCAGCTTGGGATTCTGAGCAAGACCCCACTCCTGCCACCCTACGTGCCTCATCCTACAACCTGGGGAGAAACTCTTTTCCCAAGACCAGCCACGTGGGACTCTGTCTTCAGGGACCTTGGGGTAGATACGGAAAAGGAAGACACTTAAATAAAGAGGTGCTGACAATCTCCTGGGTGGGGCGGGAGGTGATGAAAAAGCAGAAACCCATTCCGTCCCCACGGGGAGCTGTCTTGGGCCCTATGGGTGACAGAGTTGGAGAGGAAGCTGGAGATGGCCAAAGTGAACTCATTCTGAATGGTTCTCCAGGGATGGAAGGGTGGTGCTAAGTTCCTTGCCAGAGGCTGCAATAAAGCGAAAAACCAGGCCTTCAACTGCTGTGGCTTGAAGGAGCTGTACCCCTGGAGGGCAAGACCCTTCCATCACTGTCCAGACCTCCCTGCCTTCCGAAGCCCCAGTACCCGCCTGCTCCCTGCTTTTGTCTGTGGCTTGCCCACAAGGACACCATGCAATCTCCTCTCCACTGAAGTTCTGCCCACCCCCCCTCAAGACCTCTCCTTCACAAAGCCTTCCGACTTGGGCTCACTCTTGCTTCTCTCCTCACAACTCTGGAAACTCCTCCCTCCTGTCACTGCCTTTTATTTAGAGTGATCGTGAAGTGTAGTGGTTAAGAGCATGAACTCTGGAGCCAGGTTGCCTGAGTTCATATCTTGTCTCTGCCGATTTCCTGCTGTGTGACCCTGGTAAAGTTACTTACGCTCTCTGTGACTCAGTTTCCTCTGCTATAAAACAAGGGCAATAAGAAGATGTACTTCATTAGACTATTGTGATGTTTAAAAGAGCTAAAGATATACTAAGTGCTTTGAACAGTAAGCAATATGTGAATGTAACTATAAATGGGCTCTCAGGAAATGCCACTCTTTCCCTTTTTGTGTCTGTTTCCCTGGCTGCGGTATAAATTCTCTGAGGGGAAGGGCTGGGCCTTACTCTTCCCCGAGGTCCCCATACTGCCTACCCCAGTGCTAAGCATGCCTCAAATAAGAGACCTTATAAAATCCTGAGCCTGGGGAAGACAGGCTACAATCTGTCACCCACTTTTCTGCCCAGGCAGGGAACAGAGGGAGAAAGTTTAGGGCAAAGAGATCATTGTATGGTGACTGCTTATATCATCTTTGGGCTACACTGCTCAGGTTCTTTTCCTCAATGCTTCTCTCTGTGGTGTCCCACCTGTTCCTACCCTCTACCCAGTGCCTGTGGCTCTCTTCTCTCTCCCCAGCCCCGGACTCCAATACACCTGCAATGTCTGGGAGTGAGGATGGACTGTAATTTACAACAGCCAAATAAAATATGACTCTTTGCCTACCTGCCCCTTCCCACTGAGATGTTCAGTTTTAAACTTATTAAAATATTCTCTTGTCAGAGCTAACATGAGTCTTGCAACCACAGTGTCTGAATGGAAAGTGTCTCTTAAAAAGGAAAACAAAACAAAAACCCCAGCAGCCTTTCATGCTGCAGCTTTCAGAGAGTCCCAGAAGGCAGAGCCAGATAAATGCAGAGGACTGCCAGGAACCAGAGCCCTGTCCCAGCTCCTGCCCACAGCTCTCCAGCTGCCCTGCTCGATGCTGTCGCTCTAGCAGCACTGACTCCCTTATCCTTGGACCTCAATACTTGGGCACAGAGCAAACCCACCAACTGCTACTGTCTGCCCTAATCAGGCCTTGACTAAAGAGCAATTGTCTAGCTTCTTTAAAACTATCAGAAAGCATCCCTCCCTCACCTGCCAGGCCTTAGATGTAATATTGTTCTCAAGGTGGGAGTGACTGTGGGGACATCGGAAGGGGAGGCTGGGGTCTACTCAGTCCTCATGGGGGTGGGGGTGTTCTGCCCTTTGGGGGTGTTCCATATCTCTGAACAAACTCTCAGCATCATACCTTTCAGCTCACCTTTTAAGTCTAACGTCTACAACTGTGCCACATCACATCTAGGAGGTTTATAAGGGAAAATCAAGACCAGGCATCATAACTCACTCTTTCATACACGTAAAAGCCACTTGAGGAGCTGATGCAGAAGCCTGAGTTCCAGAATTTTAACCCAGGAGGTCTGGGCAAGGACCAGGAATCTGCATGTTAGCCAGACTCTTGGATGTCTGAGTTGCAAGGATGTGGCTAATACTTTGAGAGTCAGTGGATTCGAATTTACACTTTACAAAGCCCTTTCACAAACACAAAGCCATCGATCACCTTAACCACCCCCCCTATAAAGGAGAACAGCCCTGTCACTGCTGTTTTCTGGTTAAGGAACCCAAGGCTTTGAGAGGTCAATTGACTTGCCCTGGTCACACTACCAATAAGGTCTGTGATTGAGGCCAGAATGCATATGTTCTCCTTTACCCTTCACGACAGCTCCCGTGGCCACCATGGTTCTCTTGAAGCCTTTTCTCTGAGGTATAACACATTCAGAGGGGACTATCTTCATCCGCCTTCAGGGACGCGGAAGCGCAGCACAGTTCAACGACTCGCGTAAGGTTAACACAACCCGCAAATCGGAGGAGCCAGGCCTTCCATCTAGATCCAAGCCCCAGCTTGCACCCTCTTTGAAATATACGCAGTCGATTCTTGTTACCTGTAGTAATGTTCTAAAAAGTCACCACGAACACTGGCTTAGCCAACACTGAACCACTGCTCCTGAGCAAAATACAGCATCAGGTTCCTGCCAGCGTCTGCTCACTATTTTTGTCAACCAATGAGTACATAACCTTGTTTGATGTGTGTCTCTGTTTAAAGACACCTTCCTTAGTATGTATCACTGCTTCATTAACACTGAACGCATGGCCAACAGAGCTCTAATGCATGCTTGAAGAAAGCTGATGGAACACATGTATTTTCTCCATAAGGCACGTCACAGCCTTCCTGCACTTAGGACACTAGACGGCTCTGCAGCACTAGTCTTGCAGGCCGTTTTAAATAGCAAAATTACCAACAGCCCCAAAATGCAAAAAATAAAAATAAAAATAAAAAAAATCAACCTATAGCATTAAATAGACTGCAAAAAAGACACTTCTTTATATATAGTAGAGAAATGAAACAAGAAGACAGAGTGTTGCCTTGACCTCAGCTGGGAACGTGCACACAGGGTGCGCACGCTGCGTGTGCATCCGTGAGTGACCGTGGAAGTGCTGAGTGTTGGTTTGGGATTAAAATAAATTTAAGATGGTAGATGAATCTGCAGGTGTGGAATCCACAAATAATGGAGGCCAACTGCACATACTTGTGAGTGGGTTCTAGTATTAAGGATCAGAGAGCTTTCAGGTCCTTCACTGTCCTCTGCAGTCTGTCTTGCTGGGAGGGTAGAGCACTGTCAGCCGCCCGCCTGGCTCTTTGGGACCTAGGCAGGTGCCTGCCTGACCCCTGGCTCCCTCATCACTGTCCCACCACACACTTCCCTGGCCTTTTCTTGGCAGCAGCCCCAGCACTGTGCTGGAGCCAGGCTGCTCTGTGTTCCTGACACCCACGCTCAGTGGTCTGGAACCACGTTCCCTGTGGGAGGTGCAGATAGATCATCTACAGGAAAAAAGTTCCTAGGTTCTGCCCTGCTCCCCAGGCTGGCTTCTGGACTGCCTCTCTCCTGTTCAGGAAAGTGCGGAGGACCCGAGCCAAACAGAGCTGAAATGTTAAGCCCCTGCTGCTGCTGCCGCCACAAGGAACATGAGGCAGAAGAGGGTACTTTTGCTTCCATTCTCGGCTTTTTCTAATTATTTGCACCTTTGGATTATTTCCAGGACTGATCACAGCTAATCTCTTAAACCATCAGCCTGGTGGGACCCCCTGGCAGTGCCGGGGTTAATGCTGTGACCTCCTTAAGCTGCTGAGGAGTCAGGTCTAATTTTAACCTATAACTGGATCCGCCATCCTTTTTTTGCCCAAGTGCTGAGGTACCTCGGGAAGCCCAGAGTCAGCACTTCTGGCAGCTGGGGAGCGCAGGCAGCAGCCCTGCTTTTTGCAGAATGCGGAAAGCCGGAGCTGGCTCGCCGCCGAGCCCAGAGCCAGGCCCTGGGGGTTAATGGCAACAAGCCGGTTGGTTAGTGCTGCGTGGGGGCCACAGTGCTTCCTCACTTCCTGCCGACTCCCACCCCGACGCATCCTGTACTGAGCTGCCCCGAGCTGGGCGCAGTGGAGAGCCTCGGGGCAGCTCAGTACAGGATCCCTCAGGGAGGATGAGGTCAGAGCTGGCCGCCGCGGCCCCCAGCACTGCACGGCCCGCTGGAGAGCCGTGGCTCCGCGTCTTCACGGCCCTCCTTCACTGCACATCACCGCACACTCCGGCTTCTCGGCCACACTGCCCCTTGCTCACACACGCCATGCACCAAGGCCTGACAGCCCTTCCTGACCCGCAGGGAAGACACCATCCACCCCCGGGCCTGTTAACTTCGCCTTTTCCTAGAAAGCAGGGCAGCGACAGGTTTCAAGAACCACCGAGAATGGATGCCTTAGGTTGGTGGGGACTTTTGCAGGGTTCCAGGTTCAAGGGCTAGTCCAGTTCTAACCCTGTCACTGTGGGAGCTCTTCCTGGGGATATGGGTTAGAACAGCACAGCCTAGACAGACTCAAGCTACTCTCTCTGATGCCCTGTCCCCATCTTCCAGATCCCCATTGCTTGGTGTCCAGGATAATATTACTACTGAGATTACCAGGCACTTTCACTCATCTAAGCATTTTCCAACTCTGTATTTTTGCACTTCCTGAGAGGTAGGTCAGCAGATAAATACTCTATTTTCTTGACAAGGAAATCAGGACTCAGAGACACAGTTAGAAGGTGGGAAGACGAGAGTCTATGCCTCGAGACCACAGCAACACTGTTCCTCCTGCATCATGCTGGGAGAGGGGTGGGGTGAAGACGTGGGCAGCCATTGCCAGGACCAGCCTCTCCGTGAAGACCAAGCCATGCAGAAAGGATGCAGAAAGACTGTTACCTCCAAAGAGGCCATCTGAGGGGTGTGCTCGAGATCACTGTTTCCCCCTTTTCAGGCTTGCCCGCTTCACTATCTGAGCCCCCTTCCTGCCCTCTATCAGGTCCGGCTGCAGGCTACTCCCTCTCCACTCCACCTGGAGACAGCAGCAGAGACAGAACACAGGACAGATTGAACAGAAAGACAGGCAACAAATAGGCAAGAGAGTGAAAGGCATCATTTGGAGACAGTATAAACACTGCCTCCCAGGGAGGAAGGAAGGCTCGAGGGGGAACCCAGAGAGGTCAGCACAGTGCAGACTGGAACCCAAAGTGGGCTGGCACAGAGGCGAGCAGCAGGTACAGGTGCCGGGCCACTCGGAAGAGCGAGTGCCTCAGGGGCTGCGGCCACCACAGTACCTTGATGTGTTTCATAAAGTAATCAATATCAACTTCCATCTCCCTAGGATCTTCCGGGGACCCCTCAACAATCACCTCCTCGTGCTCCCGGGTGTCATCGGCACCTGATGGGTCTATCTGCCGAACAACTTTGCGAACGATCTGGAAAAGAGAGGGAAAGGAGAAGGGGCTGGTGAAGCCGTCAAGACAGCATGAAAAGAGCGGGTCCCCAGGAAGGATGTTGGGGGAGAGGCAGCCTTTGTCCTAAAGAGGCAAGAACAGGGACAGGTCTCTCACTCCCACCACTGTGTGGAAATGTTCGCATTGGACAGCCTCAGAGGGACTAGAATTTGCAGAGGGGTCTTAGCAGGTTTTTAATGACCCAGGCTGGACCATGCATAACTTCTATGTAGCCCACAGCATTTCTTCTGCCTCTTGGTATTGATGGAAGTTTACACTGTCTGTCTTCCTTGTACGCCTGTAAGCTCCTGAGGGCAGAGTAATTCGATTCAATACACCCATTCCCTTATTCATTCATCCAAATATTCTGGCAACTGTTTACTCTGCACCTACCGTGTCCTAGGGGTGGGAGATGAGACATGAACAAGACATGATCCCTGCCTGCAAGCAGCTAGTGCGCAGAAAGAAAGACAGACATAAGGGGTCTGCTCCAATGTAGTGTGAGCAGCACCAAAGGGGAGCACATACAAGGTCTTTCCTTTGCTCCTTCTTTTCCCTCCTACCCAAATCTAGCCTGGTGCCCAACCCTTGACAGGCAGCTTCATGTCTACCGATTCAGTGCATTTCCACATCTGTTTTAACTTAACAGGCCAGTGATGGTCTAGAGACCACCATATTGCTGTCTCACAGCTCTTTTCAGGGCTGAGCATCATGGGACTAGGTTTGGGCTGTTCCGTGGGGCTCGGTCCTTCTGGAACAGTGTAGCTGGAGCACAGTTCAGGCTGCATTGGGCAAAGTGGCTATGAGGAATGTCATGTCCAGATCACGGAAGATAAGAGCTCCTGGCACCTGAACTGTCCTGTCTGAGCCGTGCTTACCCCTGTTAGGGCAGTAACCAGGGAGGTAAGTCCACCGCCTGCCTTTTAGCCTTCGGCCCTCCTGCTACCCCCCAGCTCAGGGGACTCTCTGCACCCACCTTCTTGGTGACGATGTTGCCCTGCTCATCTGTGAATTGTTCCTCGGTCACCTGCTCCCCTGGAATATTCTGAAGCTCATTCCCCTGCAATTAGAGAAAGGGAGAAAAGTCAGTGTTGAGACGCAAGAGTTTGGGAAAGGGAGGATTGGAGGGTGAGGAAGTAGAACAGCAGTGGCAGCAACAGTCACAGTCCGACAAATCCCCACCCCGGCAGGAAACTCCAACTCAGCAAGTAGTGGCAGCCAAACCAGCCGCTCCGAGTGCCCAGAGGACAGGACGGAGCCCAGAGCTTGCAAGAGCTTTCTGTGCTTGTCCCCAAAACAGCACCGGGGAGCAGGCAAAACAGGGCTGGTTATGCAGGATTCACGGAGGAGACCCTGAGAGAGGAAGTGAGGTACCTAATTTATATTCCTACAGCAGTTTACAGTGAAGAAAGCCCTTCCACAGATACCATCACACGAGTGTAACCTGACGACAGAAGCACGATGAGAACAGGCCTCTAAGTCCCAGAGATGAGCTTTCTCAGCTGTCACAGAGTGGTGGTCTGAGTGAGGGCCTTGCGTGGCTCTGGCTCCCAGTGCAGAGCCTGTCCCCTGAGGCCTTCCTGTCCCTTCTCTTCCAACATGTCTCCTGACCCAGAGGCCGGCGCCTTGCCCCAGCTCCTCCCTACACACATCCCAGCACTGTGCCCTCAGCCCCAGCCTCCTGGCCTCCAGTGGTCCCACCTTCAGCTCCAGCCCTGCCTCCTGCCTGGCGATTACCTTAAAGAGGACCCGACGCCGGACCACCCTGGTGGAGATGGTCTCTTCGTCATCACTCAGGCCCTCGTTCTCCCCCAGCTCCTTGTCCAGTTCCTGGTGGATGTGCTTTAGCACAAAGCACAGAGAGCCCTTAAAAATGTGCATCACATTCTGGCAGCTAACCAGGAAGAAGCTCAGAAGCACTAAGGTGACCAGGAGCTGGGTGATGAAAGTCCACATCCTCACCAGCCCGGCGCTCCAGGCACCAGCGGAGCCAGCGCTCTGGCTGCTGCAGAGGTCCAACCTCTCATTCTCTTCTTGGACCCCCGAATCCCCCTGGGGCCCCTTCCATTCTTGATCCTCAGTCTCCCACTCTCTCTCCAGGCAGAAAACTGACCAGCCCTTCACTAGAAATGCCCGCCTGAGTGTCCGCCTGCTGAGCAGCCCCAGGCTCTGCCCTCATGCCTGGGTGACGTCAGGCTTCGATAATTTTAGCTTCCAAACCAGCTGCTGGGGCTGTCCAACTGGGTGAGAAGAAAGCCGGCAGGTGTGCATGTCCTGGGCACTGAAAAGCACATGTCAAAGTCACTGTGAAAGACCCCACCCGGAGAGCCTGAAGAGGGACATGGCCCCTCACCTTTCCTGCCTGCCTGTCCCCATGCAAACTAGACACAGTTCTGCCCAGAGAAGCTTTCTCATTCAGGAACTCCAGAAAATAAGGTGTCTAGAGAATGCAGTTGCCCGTGTGTTTCCCTGGGCTGCTACTGCCATGATCAGAATGATGTTCACCCCCTCTCATGGGGATGGGACCAGCTAATACCCTGGAGAGTTAGGGGCTTATTTTAAAAATGAATAAAAAAATGGCCCTGGGATGAATGATTTCCTCGGGCCTAGTACAGCAGGGTCCAGCGCAGATGGTGGGGCCCGTGCCGNGCCTAGTACAGCAGGGTCCAGCACAGATGGTGGGGCCCGTGCCATTCCCATCAGCCCCTTCGCAGGGCACAACAACCCTAAACGTAAGCGTGTAACTGGCATGTCTATTTCAGGCCTGTCCTCAAAGGCTCTGCCCATGCTGGCTGTCAACGCCCACCCACGAGGAGCAGGAACCGTGCGCATTAAGCTCGCCTCTCCAGAGCTGATTCACAAATGCAGCCGCAGCAGCTGCGGTTGAAAGGAATTTCACTTTCGGGATCAGGCTGTTCCTCCACATGGCAGAGAGGACAGAGATCTGGGACACAGCACACTGACCCTACATCGCCCTCACTGCGGGGACTTGGGAAAGCTGGGTACCTTCTCTGGGCCTCAGCTTCCTCATCTGTAAAAGAGGGTGGATTAAAGTGCTCTCTCTACCGAGTGCGGTGAGGCTCTCAGGGTTCGTGAGTCCCACCACTATGAATAACAGAAAACACTTCCTACAGAGCGACTGCTCTGCAGGCGTCGTTCCACAAGCGGTTCACACACTAACTCAGTTAAGACTAGCGACGGTCCTACCACGCAGGCTCTGTCATTTTCCACAAAGGAAGAGGGGGCACGAACAGGTTAAGTAACTCGCCTGTGTGAGAGAGTAAGTGAAGGAGCCACATTTCAAACCCCCTCACTACACAGCACGGCCTCACCTTAACAGGAAAGCACTGGAAAAATAGAAGCCACAGCACATTCGGTTTGGGCCCAGCCAAGGAGAGTTCAACTTCACGTATTTCCTTCCAGGTCCCCAGGGAAGGACTGGCTGGCTTACGATCATCTCAGGCCCACCTCCTACGCCACAAATTTCAGGGCATCTCTCTATATCTCTGTCACTATTTTCAGATTCACTGGAAATACTGGCAAATGGTCACTTTGTAAACTGTCACCTTAAATGGACCTCATGGTCACCTCTGGGGTCCTGCCAGATGATTAGGACAACAGCTCATCCACACCATCCAATCTTGTCCTAGGCTGGGGAGGTAGGAGGTAGGAGGTGTGCCTACCCCCCTCCATACACTCCCGCTGGGAAAAGGGAGGTCTGGACTCTCCCGGCTCTGACGCTGGTTCTCTGTGCAGCTCTGGAGACGTACTCAGCCACTCTGGGCCTCAGTTTCCTCATTTATAAACGAGGCAGTTGGAACAAATGACCTAGAAGGTTTCTCCCTTGATCCTCTGGAGTGGTCCTGCTTTCTCCCCAGGTCTCCCCTCACCAAAGGCTGACTGCGGAGGAAAGGTGGAAAATATCACTCTTGGAATCTTTCTCTTTCCCCAGGAGTTAGGAGTCGAAACCCGGTTAAGAGCTCCTGTGCTCTGGGCCAAGCACTTGCTACTGGGAGCAGCAGAAGTGGGTACCAAGGGATAGTTTGATCGCAAAAAATGCACAGGGGTGGGCTGGGGTTAAAAACAGACACAGCCGCCTGTCCTGTCCGAGGCACATACTTGGCAAGGACACATTCTAAAAAAAACCCCATTTAATTCCTAGCTGCTCTTGACCATGAGAAGCCTGGGACCATTGTGGAGCCAGCGAGTCCTGTGGTCCTCAAAGGTGCCTGCTAGGACTGATTTCAGATAGGAGCGCGGGAAGAAAAGAGGAGACAGAAGCAGCCGGGAAAGTGAGTTCGAAAGCAGTTCTTGGAGGAGGAAACAGAGCTGAAGGAACAGTAAGAAACCAGATGGGACACAGAACACATCGTTGCTGCACATTAAAAATACTAAGAGAACAGCAACACAAATTTCGTAAGAACCCATAACTTAAAAAGACACATTAATAAGAGAGCTGGGATTTGCTTCAAAGTAATATGGGGGAGGTGAGAGAGTGTTGGAGGGGTTACGGATGAAACAAGATTGGCTGAGTGGGTAACTGTGCAGCCTGGGTGGTGTGTGCATAGAAAGTTAATATGATTCTCTGTCTGTTTCTGTGTTTATTTGCAGTTTTTCATAATAAATTTTTTTTCAATAAACACATTAAAATGGATCTCTATGGGGATGGGGAGGGGCAAGAGAATGGGAATGGGGCATGAAGATAAAAGTGAATAAATAAAAAAACGTGCAGCAGGACAAACTGAAGGAGAGGGAGGGAGGGCTCATTGAGGAAGAGGCCAGGAAACCGGAGGAGAGCCGGGAGCGAGTCTGTGGTGGGAACATTCTCCCCATCCTTCTGTTCCCCTTGGTGAGCTCACCCACGAATCAGAATTCCTGCCGGGTGAGCCTTGGCGATCATCAGCTCACCCCTTGTTTACCAGAGAGGAAATCAAGGTGCCAAGAAGAAAGTGGCTTGTCCTTGGCCATGCAGACCATGGTAGGACCAGAGTTAGCCCAATAGCCAGTTCTCTAGCTCTAAGCCCTTTCTAAAACATGATGGGAAAAGAAAACAAACAAGAACCATGGCTTTGGAGTCAGTGAGACCTGACTCAAAGCCCACTTCTGACCCTGTGACCTTGGGCAAGTTGTTCAACCATCAGTTGCCAGGTGGGAATAAGCTCTGGGAGTCCAGCAGGTGTGAGGATGACGACAGCACAGGCTGTGCCTGGAGCACTCAGGAGCTCCACCAGGTTGGGGTCACCTTCAGAAGGGGTCAAGGAGGCCGGCAAGTAGACCAAGGCCAAGGGAGCTTCTAGAGAAAGTGGAGTCACTGCCACAACGTTTAAAGAAAATAAACATGTTTGGCTCTGGGCTGAGTGAGCAGGAGCAGGAGGCTGCCTGGGCCTTAGGCCCCTCTGGCACCGGTGCACGCATCAGCAGGCCCCTCCCTGTAGGTTCTCACCTTTGCCACCTGGGAGAAGGTGCGCTCTGCCTCCTGCACCCACTCTTGGTGGCTTTGTAGTCTTTGTTCTCTGTCAGCCTGCAGGCTCTGGGCCTCAGGCTGCTCTGGCCGCAAGTGCTCCATCGCAGACACTAGGACCTTCTCATACTCCCGAGACCCACTGGGCTCCAGCCCTTTGACGGTGGTGACCGTTCTCTGGAATGAGTGTGGGTCTCGCGTTACCTCCTCTTGCCAGGAACCTTGTGCAGCATCTTGCAGGTACGAGACAATGGAGCCTTCCCTATCCCAGTCCTGTAGTCTGGGGTCCCGGAAGAGAGAAAGAACACCTGGTCACCCTTAAGTCTCTGCTCTTTCAGATGCCCTCCCCCTCGAGAGCCTTGGTTCACCCAGGATACACCCTGTACAGCCCACCTGAGGGACAGGAGAGTGTGAGCAAATCATACAGCTGACTGCCCTGTCCAGAGAGATACAAATGGGCGATCCATGCTGTCTAGGTGGGGAGGGCTGTGAGTTCCAGTGCCATTGGTCCCCTTCCCTTTGAGTGGACAGCCCCACTTGGAGCTCCCAAGGTACTGAGCTCATACCAAAGATCCAGTCATGAGGCCTCCACACCCATTACCTCCCTCACCTCCCCTCAGCCCTCCAGGGCACCTATACTCAATAGTCCTCAGCTCAGTGCTCATCTGACAAGGCCATCACTCCTTCCCTCTGGAATCACTTTCTTCCATGGCTTCTGGGACACCCCATTTGCCTGGTTTCCCCTACTCTCTCGCCACTCCTTTTCAGTGTCTTTTGTTGGCTCCTCCTAATTTCCCTGACTTCTGAACACTGGAGCACCCTAGGGCTCAATTCTCAGACCTCAGCTATATCTACCTCCACTTCCTAAGGGCCATGGTTCAGGCCATGGCTTCACACCCCATCCACACGCCACTCATGCCCGGGTGCATGTCTCCAGCACCTCTTCCTTGAACTGCAGGTGCGTAACGGCCTCCTCAACATCTCTCCTCTCGATTCCTCACAGGCATCTCGCCGACAGCACGGTCAAATCCACTTACAATCTTCTCCCCAACCTGTCCTGCCCGGTCTTCCCCGCTGTGGTAAATGGCACCTTTATCCTTTCCGTTGTCAGGTCAAGGATGCCAGTGAGCTCTTGGACGCCTCTGTCTCTCACACTCCTCCTCTTATTTGTAAGCAAAGCCTTTCGGTTCAACTTTCAAAATATATCCCCAACACAACCACTCTCGCCACCACTACAGCTACCACCTTGGTCCACATCACTGCCAACGCTGGCCTCCTAGCTCATCTCCCTGCTTCTGTCCCCGCCATGTCAGGCTACTCTCAAGGCATCTGTGAGGCCATCTCACTCCTCTGCTCAGAACCCTCCACGGGCCCCAATTCCTCCCCATAAATGCCCAAGTCTTCCTATGAGCCCCAAGGCCTGATATGGCTGGCCTCGTTATCTCCCTGATCTCATCTCCTCGATCATTCTGCTGTAGGCACAGTGACCTCCTCACTGTCCCTTGACTGTGCCATGCATGCTCTACTTCAAGGCCTCAGCACTAACTGGGCCTTCAGCTAGATGTCTCCCCTCAGGTATTCGCACAGCTCCCCGCCTAAATTCTTTAAGCCTTTATTCCAACGTCCCTCTCCCAGGCTTCCCTGGCTACTCTATAATTTCAACACCCCTCTCCACACACACCCCTTCTGCTCCCGTTCCTTGCTCTATTTTTCTTTTTATCACTTATTATCTAGCATTTATCTTTTAATTACTTTTAATTGTATTTACTTTATTTTGTTTACTGACAGTTTCCCCACTAAAATATAAACTTCTTACAGATAGAGACTTTTTGTCTCCTTTGTCCAGTGCCGTACTCCCAGTACCTAGGCACTTTTTATCAGTGTCTGGCACATAGTAGGCACTCAATACGTATTGCTGAATGATTGAATAAAATTGGTCCATCCCCATTGGAAGGCTGACCATGGTCACAGAGCCAAACCATAACATCCTGAGGCCCAGCACCCAGGCCTTCTGTTCCCATCTAGTGACCCTGCTGTCTAGTGACCCTGCTGTCCCAATGGTGCAGAAGCCAGCACACAGCTAAGTATTCAATCAACGCTTGTTGAATGGATGCCCTTCACGGTTGTTGGAAGATGATCTCTCTCAAAGGAAAGCCAGTATTTCACTTTGAATCCTCACAGGCTCAGTCTGTCCAATTCTTCCCCTACTCAAAGGATTCATTTGGGAACCAAATAAGTAATTGCTGTCTCATCTTATAAATGACCTTCCTTTCCCTCGTCCTACGGTATATGGGCCACACTGAGTGGACCCTGGGGAATGGCCGATTGGCCCGGGCTTCTGAGTGGAGCAATATGGGTGGAAAGAGGAAATGAGAACAGGTTTCCCACGGTCTGGCTAGGCCTGAGCTCCTTGGGTGGCCGCAGCCTTCTGGGAGGACAGAAACTGTGTCCTTGCCTTAGGAAAAAGTGAGGAAGCACAGCGACATGAAAGAAAGAGTTACTGTCACTTGTTTTTTGTGCCACCCAGTCCAGGAAGGTCAAAGCAATATGCACCATGTGTGAGTCTCCCCCCTCTCTCTCACCCCAAGCCCTCACACTCGGTGCAGCACANGTTGGAAGATGATCTCTCTCAAAGGAAAGCCAGTATTTCACTTTGAATCCTCACAGGCTCAGTCTGTCCAATTCTTCCCCTACTCAAAGGATTCGTTTGGGAACCAAATAAGTCATTGCTGTCTCATCTTATAAATGACCTTCCTTTCCCTCGTCCTACGGTATATGGACCCTGGGGAACAGCCGATTGGCCCGGGCTTCTGAGTGGAGCAATATGGGTGGAAAGAGGAAATGAGAACAGGTTTCCCACGGTCTGGCTAGGCCTGAGCTCCTTGGGTGGCCGCAGCCTTCTGGGAGGACAGAAACTGTGTCCTTGCCTTAGGAAAAAGTGAGGAAGCACAGCGACATGAAAGAAAGAGTTACTGTCACTTGTTTTTTGTGCCACCCAGTCCAGGAAGGTCAAAGCAATACGCGCCATGTGTGAGTCTCCCCCCTCTCTCTCACCCCAAGCCCTCACACTCGGCGCAGCACGGGGACTGTGGTATCCACGGCATGGCTGAGAGTTGGGCCATGGCCCGAGGGCTCTCAGGGTCTCAGAGGTGCAAAAGGTCCTTCTGCCTGAACCGCCACCGATGTTTCCCTGCTACTGGCACAGAACCAGGCCTTTTAGCCAAGGGAGCTTGGTGAGGAGTCACCCATAAGAACAACCATCTCTTAACAGCCGAAAGCTCTGTCCTGCCCCAGATAAACCACCAGCCTCACTCTTTCTAGGGGTAAAGTAGAAAGGGCACCATTATCAGCTCTGTCACACGCAGGCTGTGTGACCGCACAAATGACTTCCCAGGCCCTGGTGCTTACAGGTTTCTAAATATGGTCATCAACGATAAGCACACAACAGCGATAGAGGCCAGAACACCTAGCCCCAGCTGCACGCCAGAGACGTGGTTCCTCCGAGCCTTATAATCTCTCTCCTAAGTGTGCTCCCCCCTGTCCCAACACCCTAAGCCTCTCTCCTGCTGACCACGCTGTCTTGGGGAGGGGCTGGCCTTTGCAGATCATAGCTCCATTCTTACAGGACAGAGGCCCGAGTGAGCGCTGGGCAGCTGCAGAGGCAAGCTGGCACCTACTGAATGGATTTGTCCCAGGATGTTTAGAACACAGAGTCAGGGTCGGCAGCAGCACCTAAGAATTCCCTCCGCACTCACTGCCAGGTTCAATCTCACCAGGAAACCCAGGAAGAAGAAAGGCATCCCACCACGCAGCCCAGCCCTTACCTGTCCTGGCTGGTCTCCATCACCCGACTCACAGTGGGGGACTCTGTGATGCGGGCTTGCACCCTCTGCTGGCCTGAAACAAGAGACACTTCATTCTCTGAGTCCTGCCCTGCACCTGTCGAGTCCTCCTGCCTCTTATGACCTGGCAGCTTCTCTTCTGACCTCTGACCTTCCTCCTGGTCAAGCAAATCGACAAGGCCATTTGTGGCATCTGAATCCACTGTGTCATCCTCCACAAGGTCCTGAGAGCCCAGCGTGGGGCCCTGGGGTCCCTCGGAGAGCGCCCCCTCCAGCTTCCACTCGTGGCCAGTGGCATCAGAGTCCTCGGCCTTGCTGCACTCCAGAGAGGAGTCCTCAGCAGTGACCAGAGAGGGTGTGAGGCCCGCGGACCACACCTGCATGTCAGACATCTCCAGCATGGTGTCATGCTCCGTGGCCGCCAAGGGGATGGCGTCCATGACGGCCACCTCGTTCCAGTACTGGTCTGCACGCAGCGGAGAGGGAAGCGCGTAGTGCAAGGAGGCAGGGGACAGCAGCTCGTCCTGCAGCGAGGAGTAACCTGGATGGGCAGACAGAGGGCAACATGCTCCAGAAGCGATTTTTGTCACACACACTTACGTGCAAGTCCACGCACACACACACGCACACACGGGCACGGCCACGGCCACAGATAGGCATGCACATTCCGGGCGAGGGGCTTTCCAAGCTCAGACTTCATTGCTCAGGCCTTGTGGCTGCTGCCCAGGGGACCTGGGCAAGAGAAGCAAGGCTCTAGATTGGGTGGGGGACAGCCAGGGAGAAGGGTGAAGAGGAGGGCGTCTTTGCTGGATGGCAAAGAGAAGAGAACGGAATTCTCTTCCAGTCCAGAACACTAGATCAAGAAGCCTTGATCCAAAGGACTTGTGGTCCAGTCTGTCCCCAGTTGAGGAAAACCCACTTCTCCATGGCTGGGCAGAAAGAAATGTTATTCTTTCTTTGCTCAAAACTTCCCTTTAGCACAGTCCTTCGAGCATCTATCAGGAATGTACCTTAAAGGGAGGGAACAGCCCACCCAGACCCAGGGTCAGTAACCAAGCTGCCTTGGAGGGGTCACACTGAACACCCACAGACCTTGGCGCAGTGGTCAAATGGGAAACCATTTGGTTTGGGATGAAATAACTTTTCCTCAAGCTGCAAATTGATTTTAGAAACCTGAATGACCTCAAGAGGCACAAGTGAGGGCTCTAAGGGTTCCAAAAAGGGTTCCAGGTCAGAGGTTACCAGAGGGCACCAGGCACGTTGGCCGCCACCTCAGTACTTTGCCCTGAAGCAACTCGCCCGCAGTGCCTGAGCTTCGTGCCAGCTCCCAGTCAGCAGTGAGCAGTGGGATCGGGGCCAGCCGGCTCAGGACGCTGCGCATGGCCTCCTGGTCAGCACAGCCTGTTCTCACATCTGTTCCTTCCTGACTGGCTCAGCCAGGAGTCCTTGCTAGTTTTCTGGTTGGCTCTGGTATTGGTTCCCTGACGTTCAGAAGTGAGTGTCATGTCCCTGAATGAGTGGCACTTGTAAGTGTATGAGGAACCTGTGTGCCAGCTGAATGGGCATTGCCCTGTCAGGTTGCTCCTCTGCTTTCCTCTAGCCAGGAGTGGGGGTCCCTGTGAAAAGGGGAAAGAGGGCTTCTGACTCCCCTTTGGAGCAAGTGCCAATCTATGGGTGGCAGAAGGGACTAGAAGACAAGATTCTCTATTTTGCTCAGCTTATCTGGGGAACTAGGGAGCAGGTATGCGCCTATAACCTCTGAAGACCCAGCAGAGCCAAAGAGTATGACTGGGGCGCTGGATATGAGTGGGGCCACCCCTTTCAGAGTCTCTATCAACCTTCCTGTGTCCAGAGAGGCCCCAACCCAGTGTCCGGGCTCCTCATTCTGCCA